GAACAGTAGGTCGGCATACAGCTCATCCAGGTTCCTTGCCAGCACCACATGCACTAGTGTGTTACTGCCCTGGGGTCAGCAGAGGTACCAAGTGAGACCAGCCAGCCCTCCTGAGTTCATCTGACCTGGAATAAGCTGCCTGGGGCTGAGGAGATGGCTCAGTTGAATAAACGCTTCCCTAGCAAGTGCAAGGGCCTGAGTTCAATCCCCGGCTCCGCAAGAAGGAATAAGCTGCCAAGTCTCGAGTCCCATTTCTGGGGGCTACTTGGTGCCAAGTGCTTGGCACTACTGTCTGTGCCTTGATGTACTTAGCTTCCCACAGTGAACCTAGCCTACTGGTCTTTGTAGCATAGCACTGGGCCTTGAAACCAGGTCCTTGTACTGGGCAAGTTCTTTTAAGTTTTATTTTGAGACAAGGCTGGCCTTGAATATACAATCTTTTCTCAGCATACTGAGTAACTGAGATAGCACTACACCAAATTTCAAACCAGCATTCTTTTTCTCATGCCAGGAATTGAACTCAAAACCATGTACCTGGCAGGCAGGCACTGTGCTGCTGAGCTATATTCCTGGCCTCTAAGCCACCATTCTTTAGATGGGAATCTAGGGGCTAGCCTGTCTCACTTTCCTAGTGCAGTAGGGTATGGGTTGTGGTCCAGAGCCCCCTTACTGGCATTACTGTTGGTGCCCAGGTAGTACTTGGGGGTAAGGACAGCTTACTATGGAAGGAGGTAGTCCATGAGACTTCGGTGTAAGTCTGGATTGTTATTTTGTTGTGCTCTGAAGTTCAGCCTCTGTCCGAGGGATGACCAACACCTCTAGCTACCTGGGCATATGTAGCTAGACCCTCCCTCACACTACAGGGCTCTTCCCTGGCACTCCCCACAAGAGTTCCTTGGCATGGAATCTGCTAGGACCCCCAGAGTGGGTATGAAGAGAAGTTGCTGCATCTTGCTTTCCTGCCCACAGTAGCCAGTACACTCGAATGGCCTGGTTCAGTGGTAATGGCTGCCCAGGCAGAGGGATGAGCAGGTGTGGGTGGGGAGGTAGGCTCAGGTCTGCTCACCTGATGCCCCAAAAGTTCATCCAGCAGGATGAGAGCTTTGTGTCCCAGGAGGAAGTCTGCATGCAGACCAAAGTGTACCTTTGGGTTGGAGTGGGGATGCCACCCCAATATTCGTGCAGACCTGACCACAGGCTAGCCATGGAAGGGTGTAGCGTGGCTCTGAGCCAGGCATGCTATCACTTCTTGTCTGTCAAAGGTGCCAGTGGCTCTCACAGGCTGGGAGAAGTCTGTTTCCTTATCCTGTGCTGTTTGCTCACAGAAAGCCACAGAAATTCATTGTCTTCATCAAATGTCAACAATTTCAGGGAGTGGGGTTCAATCACTGCTATATGTTCTGGGGTACACTGGGGCGCACTGAGAGGGTGAGACTGGGTGTGTTGGCGCATGCTTATAGTCCCAGCACTTGGGAGGCTGAAAACAGGATCACTATGAGTATGATCTGTGTAGAGAGACCCTGTACTAAATACATTATTATTATTATTATCATTATTA